AAAGTCGAGGCAATCTAAAGTACAAACATATAAAGATATAACATATTAGAAAACAAATAAATTAACAAAATTACAACTCTACTGTAAGTATTGAGTAACAAAATTCACGACTTCACAACCTTCAATGGTTCAATTCTTAAGTCTTGACCAAACAAAATAGAAGTCAAATCTAAGTTGGTTGAATCACTTGGTTGATGTCTTGATAATGTGCGCCGAAATCAAACCATGGATTAGAAAGATCAATATATTAATTGAGTTTTTGAGGGATTTCAAACTTTGGAGACCGTCAATATCAAATGTGTCGATATGTTCAATGGTTTAATGGTTTTAGTCGTCGATTTTGATTATGTTAATTTGGGTCATAGTCAATAAGTTAAAAAAGTTGGGCTTGCTAATATTAAAATAGATAAATAAATAAATAAATAAATAAATATATATATATATATATATATGTATGTATGTATTTGGCGGTCGGTTTGGTCCAAACCGCCTAAAAAAGTTTCCAAACCGCAGACCGGACCGGACCGTCCGGTTTTGCTATTTTCCAAACCAGACCGGACCGCCAGACCGCTCAAACCGCCAAAAACGGTCCGGTTTGACTTGGTTCGGCCGGTTTGAGCGGTCCAACGGTTTTTTTGAACACTCCTAGGATCCACCATATGGAGGAAGGAGGGACATGCCCCCAACCAAAAGTCAAAGAAATTGCGATTTCTTTTTTTATACCCGATTCTCGTATTTATTTTAACTTTTTTCTGTTAATACCCTAAACCTTTTTCTATTGACATCCCAACTTTTTTCAAGAACTCAGTAATTGCTTCGTGTGATCCCGTCATTGCTTTTGATGTCATACTTCTTAGCAATTTAAGTAGATTTTTGGATGATTTTGATTATTAATAGTGACATTTTTTTGGAATATAGTTAACTCTCGTTAGTTTGGTTCGGTGCGGTTTTCAACAGTTTTGGACTGTTATCCAAGAACCAATTGATCCAAATTGAATGTTGAAATTTTCAGTTCGAGCTGATCCAATTACAATTAGATATCCAATTATGATAGGTTGGTCTCAATTTGATCGGTTGATTTTCTGCACATCCCCACCCCCATTACATAACTTTTTGGATTTGCCAAGGAATATCTATATAAAAGAATAATATTTTTAATAAAGAAAATTTAAAAAAAATGTGAATCACAATTAATTGTAGTAGAGAATTACACATTTGACTCATGTAGTTTGTCCAAAGATTGATTTGTTCCTCATAACAACTGTTAACTGGCGAAGTTCACTCTAGGGACCATGAGTGTTATGAAATTGAAAAGTTATGAACCATCAATGTAGATAGTTTTTTATGAACCAAATCCAAATTTTGAGCAAACCACAAGTGTAATTCACTCTAATTTAAATTGTTTAATATCATTAAGTAATGATAGAAAACATATTTTTATATACATATTATTATATATGATATGGTGATTTGTCGCAATAAGTTATGCCTTGAAAAACGATGTGATCTCGCCATGACTCCTAAATCTTGAGGTTCGGTCTCACCAACACGCTACACCTCAGCCTATACAGGACCTTGCATATTCTGCATTCAAGACTTGTACCTTTTGTAGTCAAAGTTATACAAATTAAAATTGGAATTGGGACACGCAAGATCATGGAAACGGGGTTTTTTTTATTGCAAGTGTTCAAACCAGATTGAACACACCTCGACTAATCCAATAAAAACACTGGAGAACACTAAGAAAATTTTCAGTAATCCTGTAGATACTCAAATGACTGAATAGATGACCATTGAAAAAGAGCCTCAAAGGTCAAAACTTTATTAACATTTATAGGAACATATGACTTGTACGTTGGTTATGGATATGAATATGGATTTGGTGGTGTTTCTAGCTTTGGGAAATCACTTTGTTTCAACTTCAAGAATACCCCTTTTACTATTTTAAAATTTTATCCTAGATATCATGCAACAATGATTTAGTAGCTCATACGGCATGACTTGTACAATATGCAATAAGAGTTGTAGTTTGAGCCGAATTCGGTTATTTTTTGGAAACGGGTGATTAATCCTATGACAAGTTGCAACTGTAGGTTTAATTCGTAATCTTTGAGATAAAACATTTTAGTGGCCACAAACACATATGTAAATGACAGGATTCCTAAACGAGTAAATTTTATTATCTTCTCGTCTTCATCCACCTTTACAATAAGATTCATAAGAACCCTTTTAACTTGAAATAATAACTTAGTAACTTATGCATTAAAAGTAGTACTCACAAAAGGATAATGAAAAATGACTTCTACAACATCCATTAATGGTTGTACTGCGACATGGGTTTGGTGATTGTATCACCGTCTTTGCTGTGTATATCTGACCCGATTAGTTATTTATTTCTCCTAAATTACCAAAATGTCATTACTTAAGTACTTAGCTCCTGGCTATAACAAGATTTGGTATATAAGACGTTAAAAATATATAAATATCCTAATAGATTGTTTTTATAGGACCAAACAATAAAACATCTTGAGTAAATGTGTTGTAATAAGTTTATATAACGTTTTTTTTATTTCTTGACAATTTTTAGAATATTTTTAAAATAAAACGACATATCAAATATTTTATAGGAAACTATTTGAAAAAGAGTCTTAACAAAATGTATGTTTATAGGACACTTTTCAAAAATGTCGTATAAAATATCTAATACGACGCTTTATTTTAAAAAAGATATTAAATACCTAAAATAATACTATAAACTTATTACAACCTCTTTAGTCAGAACATTTTATGTTTTGGTCCTATAACCGTAAGTCTTATTAAGCAATAGGACATTGAGAAATTGATGGTGTCTTATAAACCCGATTTTTATTGTATTGTAGCCCATTAAGTTTATATTATTACAACAATTTTTACTCCTACAATAAGTTATTAGGATAAATTATATCGATAAATAAGGTAATACATTTTGCTTGATATTTAAAGTTCAACTTTAAATCACTTTAAAGTTGTAAAGTAGTTTGTTTGATATTTAAAGTTGAAGTTTATGATATTTAACGGGTGTCGGTAACGCTTTCCAAAAGATTCTGAAATTGAAGATTGACAAGGTGGTATTCAAAAGGATGGTGTACCAATTCTTGATCGCAAGGGTTTAAATTCTGATGGGACTATTTGCTAGCTGCGAATAGAGTACAACGGTAGAGATGGAGGGTTACAAGTCCAGAAAGGCTTCGTACGCAATGAATCCGGCATGGACGACCATCTCGTGGCGGATTTTCGCCATCAATTGCGTAGGATTGATCTTAGAGGTTTCAGCTCTATTTCTCCAATGTATTCTTCAGGGCATTGAACACTTTTTCTTTAAAATAAAGTGTATCGTATTAGCTACTTTATACGACATTTTTCTTTTGTTCTAGTTTTTATGGTCGTGTTTTTCGATGAAAAAGATGAGCGGAGTGAAGGTGATCACTATGTTGTTGGCAATATGGGGTGTTATGTCGTATATCTATCAACATTACCTCGATGACAAAGGAAAAAGCCGATACCAGTAACATAAATCATCAAGTTGATCTTCTGGAAACAAGAATTGGACAATAAAACAATTATTTTGATATTGCTGCAGTCTTACGCCTACTAGACCCAGATCATAAAACATGTTTGTGTGTGTGCATATATATATATATATATATATATATATCCCTTCTTTTATAATCTCAATATTCGTACAAACTTACAATCCAGTTTTAACGTAGCACATGTAAAAATACGGTGTTTGTATCGTATGTGAAATGTTAAAAGCTGTTATTTTTTAGTTTTAAATGGTTTAAGATATAAAACAACAAAATATAAATACAGAATTGTGAGATAAAAAAAAATACTAATTGAATATCACTTTCTTTTAACATATTGCATTTCCTACATAAGATTACACGATGGATAACAAAAGCAGGCAAAAGTTTTTTATTAGGTTACGTGGTTTTCCACATAATTGCGAATGGGTATATACCTTCAAAGCAGTTCCATATTATTAGTCATTACTTGCAGAAACGATGACTACAAACTCTCCACCGGCATCAAACATGGGTGAGTAATTTGAAGCATTTGCATGTTATTCTCTCCTAACTTTTTGTTTGTTTCTTGTAATAATTTTTTGTATTTTAACAGCTCAAGAAACTAACGACGTGCACTTCGCAGACGATGGAACTGTTAACGAGCGATCGTTCATGGTTCATTGGCCTCGGAAACACAAGAAATGGGTCCAAATGCTGGTCTATACGATCTTCGTGCTTTTTGGCCAATCGGTTGCAACGATCATGGGTAGACTTTACTTTAACAAAGGTGGAAATAGCATCTGGCTACTAACGCTCGTTCAAACCGTTGGCTTTCCCGCTCTCGTACCCTTCCTATTAATATCACCGGTTCAAACTTCGAACGATGCCAATGCTGAAAAACCAAAATCTCTAGTCCTCGCATTACTTTACGTCTTCCTTGGTGTATTTCTAGCGGCACTTTGTGTTTTATATTCTATAGGACTTTTATACCTTCCGGTTTCCACGTACTCGCTCATTTGTGCCAGCCAATTGGGCTTCAATGCGATATTTGCTTATTTTCTCAACCAGCAAAAGTTCACTCCTTATATTATGAACTCCATTTTCATCCTCACTTTATCGACTGTGCTACTGGTCTTCCAAAACAACTCAGGAGAGTCCATGAACACCTCGAAAGGAAAGTATGCTTTCGGGTTCATATGCACCATTTGCGCGTCGGCTGGTTATGCATTACTACTTTCTTTAACACAGCTCTCTTACCGGATTGTTGTGAAAGATGAAAGTTTTAGAGCGGTAGTGGCGATGATCATCTATCAATCCATGGTTTCATCTCTTGTGATCACAATTGGGCTTTTCGCTAGTGGTGATTGGAAGAGGTTGAGGGCGGAGATGATGAAATTTGAACTCGGGAATGTGGCATATGTGATGATACTGGTGAGCAAGGCAGTTTGTTGGCAGATTTTTTCTATTGGGACACTGGGGTTGATCTTTAAGGTTTCTTGTCTGTTCTCCAATGTTGTTAGTACAGTCGGGCTACCTATTGTTCCAATTCTAGCAGTTGTTTTCTTCCATGAGGAGATAAATGGGGTGAAGATGGTTTCTATGGTAATGGCGATATGGGGGTTCCTATCGTATATGTATCAACATTAACACGATAACACAAAGGCCGAATCCCAAAATAAAGATGGATAAAAAGCCAAAATTTTGTCTAAATGCGTTACTGTTGATGTTAACATATAATGGTACAAGAGAAAATGCAGCTTTGATGGTTTCAGATACTATATATATCATACTATAAGAACACCACAAACTTACCAGCCAAAAGAAATGGTTAAACAACTTTGACATATAGAGCTTTAGACCGTCAACTGCTACTTGTTGCTTTGTAGTGGAATTCGTCGATTGTTGAGTATATCATGCCTTCGTCTTCAAGTGTTCTTATGGATTCCCTACCATTTACAAAATTTCCCATGTTAAGGGTTAGATAGTGTGTGTATATGTGAGTGTGTATATATATGTATAACGAGAGAGGGGGGAGTACATGATCTTGTCATGAGAAAGTTTCAGCTTCTGTACCAATTCATCTGTATGGATGCCCTTTTCATTACCACTACAATGCAAACCATGTTAAAAAAAGCAAATTACATTCCACTGCCAACACCAGATATCAAATACAGAAGCATCCAATTGAAGAAATATAACCAGTTTCCTACCTCCATGGAGACCTCAAAGCTAAGAAATCAACATGTATGACATGTGGGTTGGAACATGATATGGACATGTGGGTTGGAACATGATATGGACATGCACTCATCTGGCCATTTAGCTGCAGCGACTGTTGTCTTTTTAGTTCCTTATGTCATAATGTCTTATTTTGCATGCATGAAGTGTTAGTTTCAAGAAGTTACGTTAAAGTGTTGGGCTGGCAGATTATGAGAATGTTCAGAAGCAGTTAATGGGTCATGGTCCGTAGAGGTTACCTTTATTTTATATGCTTGTATGGTTACCATTTTAGAGTATGCAGAGAAAGTTCTCAGTTTCTTCTCCTCTCCTCTCTGTTCTTGGAAATCGCCCATCTCGAAATGGGTTGTACCCGAACACCAATTGAAGTCATGAAAATTTGAGTATTTTAACTTCACAACTAGCATTTGTAGTCGATTTTGTAAGAGAAATTGACAATTTCATAGTAGTAAGCGTAAATTACTCATGGAAAAGATAAGTGATGCTAAAAGACCCTTTTTGCATTTAGGAAATCCTAGCTTTGACTTTCCAATGTCAAACAAGCAAGCAGCTTAGCTAAAAGTTATATAGACATGCATCAATGTGAATTCATCTGCTTTATCCATGTAACAACTAACTGCTATTGAAAATAATTTCTTCTTTCTTTTTTCCTAATAAGATAAACATAGAAGTTAAATGCTTATGTTTTTTTGATTGTGCAAACTAGACAAAGGCCCCTTGGAGTAGATTCTAGCATTCACCACCATACTCCAAACTACATACATACAGACATTGGCTATAGATGATTCCAATAACAGCATCAACCTACCATCATCCTCGTGATGGCATGTCATGCAAGAACTAATAAGAGTATGCAATGCAGCAGAACTTACTAGTTTGCAGGAAGCTGGAGATAAGCAAGAACCATTTGATCAAACCCTTTCAGTCCATCAACATTAAAAGGTATAGAGAGCTGAAAATGAAACAAATGATCATGTTAATCAAGGAAGTGAAGAACAAAGCTGTAACACTGTAATGAAAGTACATCTAAGTGATGGTATGGCACCTGACTCGGAAGGGTGGTCTTAAAACCATTTGTCCCATTCTGGATAGGTGTGTTTGGATTTGAATTTGTGTTCTGGGAAAGAGCTGTACCATCCCCTTGTATCTTCTACAAGTCAGAGATTTGATTGTTGACATTAGAATTACAAGCACGTCAAATATATCTTTACGCACTTCAGTGTCCATGTAAATCACTTCCCAAATGATGTGTATTTGATATCGCATACCTGAACTTTTGAAGTGCGCAAATGGTTGTGTATGCATGCAATGAAGTGAAAGGTGATCTCATCAAAATTTGTCACAGGCCTGAAATTTCACAAGATAAATTTTTATCCAAACTATGGCAAAGAAAACTCATGAATCTTGAATATCAACGTCTATACTAGTCCATGGGCAGTCATGAGTACATCATAGTGTCAACAACTAATACCTAGAAACAGTTGCCCTGAATGTAAATTCTACTCGAAAGAAGTTTTTTTCATTTGTAAGCCAAGGAATAAGAGCCACTTTGGTTCACTTTTTCACCCATTTAGCAAGTTATTATGAGAGGCAAAATGCATCACTTCAAATCTGAGCATCAAACCAAAAGGTCTTTTAGCGATATCGTAGCCTTTGGCCTCCTAGGAGGTCGGGGCTTCAAACCTCACTACAGGTGAGGAGGGTGTGTGAGTTTATTTGTTGCATTTGCCGTATATAAATATTATATACTTCAAAAAAATCTGAGCATCAACACACATCAGAAATGCATCAAGATGCTTGAATTGTATAAGCAGTTATGCACCCATTTCAGAAAGCAAGTTATGATAAGATCTCCGTGCAATACCTGACCGAAAAGATAGCAACATGCCTTTCACCTTTAAAACTTTTCAAGTGTCCATCAACGTGGACATAAATCCCTTCTCTGCAAAAAGAAGTGATCATAAAAATTCCATTATGAAACCAAGAGCACCCAAATAATTAATGTCGTCTCATAATCAAACTAGAAAAATCAATAAAAAAGGATCCTATGAAGTAACTCACCTAACTTCCTCTATTTGCAATTTATCAAATGGTTCATTCAGCCTACAAAGAATAGTACTTCAACAATAAGTTTCACAAAAATGATATTTTATCCATCCAAGAGAAATCAGCACTTGATTTTGGCTAATTCAATAATATTTTCGAATTTCCTATAACCATGAGATAACAATAAAAGGTAGCATATAGCTTTACCATATCTTGCATTCCAATTTTCCAGTTCCATCATCTAATGTAAAGGTAACATCAGTGTTCCTTTCCACTATGTTGAACACCATTCCCACCACCGTAACCTAAAATTAAGAGAATTGCATATAGTTCAGCTAATGACAAAAATCAACTTCACGGTATCACCAAACACAACATCAAGCATCGATCTTATATTGATCAATAGAGCTCTATTTCACGATCTCGTGATTAAATCCTGATAACAACGCAACCCGTTTTGTCATCATTGAATGATATAAACAAAACTAAGAAGTCGCTTACGCAAAAACCTCATGGTGCATAAATCGGAAAACATACATTAACAACATCTGCACCGGCAACAACGAAATTGGACTTATCATCACCAGAGTGAGAAGCTTCACTGATCTGCTTTATAGTGAGCGGCACCACTCCAAAAGTGTCTCGATTCTAAGAAATAACAATGATGAAAAAACGTTAATAAAACTAATAAAATTAAATGAAGAGAACGAACTGGATTGAAGAGGAATAGGGTTTAATTACGGCGGCGGCCGGAGAATTGGTGATCTGAGTAGACGCGAATCCACCGTCGAACTGACTTTCCGAGAACATCATGATGTCAACCTTTGATGCGGAGAATGGTGTACAGGTCGAATGCAATGGGAGGACTTCAATTGCTGAAAGGATGATTTATATGGGTCCAATTTTCCCGCCAATTTGTTGGTCGATTTTCCCGCCATAGGGGCTCAAGGTCTACCCTTGTTTTTGGGTAAACTACAACAAATGGTCCTCTAACAATTGGTCAACTTGCAAGTTTAGGTCAATGACTTTTTTTATAACACTTCTAGTACAAATCCTAATGGTGTTGGTTTTTTTTTTCTTTTGGGTAACCCTCGGTTTTAGGGTGACGTTTTGTGTATTGGCTAACCCCTCGGGTGACCAAAATGATCTGGAGTCATGGGAGTCATCGCAAGTGAACCTTCATTGACAAAAAGGCTTTGCCAACATTCGAATTTGAGGTAGATAAGATTTTCCACTACATCTCATGAGACTTAACCAGTGCACACAACCTAAGCGGTTAAAGTGTTGGTTGATGGCCATTAGTCATGGCATGTGCATAGCATGCCACCTCCATCAATAGCGGATACATAAACTTCTATTATTGGGGCACATTTAAGAGTGTCAAAAAATTTCTAAAACCAAATAACTCATTCGAACCAATATGATTTTGGGTTATTTGGTTTTCGGATTAAACAATTCTGTTATCGAATAAATATAACTTATTTGGTTTGGTTTTTAATTAATTTTTGACCATTTTGGATAAGCCGAGACATCATATTGCCATGTACATATTTTAATTTTCGGTTAAACCAAATCAAATGAATACACTACACATTAATAGTTAGTAGCAAGAAATTAGAAGTCAAGAGATCGATAACTTAGATTCAGTTAAAAAGAAATCAGATAACAATAGGCCAAGAAATCAAAAATAAATGACAAACTAATAGCAAATCTTAAATCAAAATAACAAACCCAAATTAAATAACAAAATAAAGAATCTTAAATCAAATAACAATTAAGAAAGAGAAAATTAATAATTATCAAGTAACAATAATTATAAATCTATAAATAATAAAATGCAAAAAGAAAGTTGGGAAAAATCAAAATAGTGATTAATCAAATCATTAGCATTATAGTAAACAAGATAAGAAAAATAAAATGATTTTCAATAGATTGAGGCTTGAAACTTAAGAACGTTTAATTAACCATTAAAGTAATGACTCCTTGAAGTAAAAGTTATAAATAAGATACATAAATTTAGATTTGGAGTCTTACCTTTGATTGTTGGGGGCCTATTAATAATTTTTGGTTAAAAAAAATTAAAACCTACCACTCATGCTTTATTTGAGTGTTTCTTGAGTTAGCTTGTTGGGGGCCTCTGCTCCCTACCCCTTGACTGTGCATCTGCCACTGACCTCCATTGAAGGGTATTTTTGTCTTTTGTGCACTAAAAACCCTCGTCTTCGTCTATTTTGTTAGGGGGTGTTTGGGATTGCTTATTTAAAACAACTTATGCTTTTTTGTAAAAGTGCTTATTAACTTATGTGGTATCAAACTGGAGTTTTGTAAAAAGTGTTTGGATTAGCTTACAGCGGTACCAAACTGCAATAAGCTGATAAGTTGTTTTTTAGTGTTTGGCAAATTTTGCTTATATCTGTAAAATGACCAAAAAAGACAGAGAGAAGATTGATGTTGTTATATGGAGAAGGGAGAAGATTGAGATCGATGTTATCTGGTGGAAAAAAGATAGGTATAAAGGGTAATAGGGTTAAAATGGTAAACTGGTAATAAACAGTTTTTCATAAGTCAGGACGGATTAACTTATCAAAAACTGCTTATTACCGGTTTGGCACCGGTATAAGCAGTTTTCTTTTTTCTTATCCAAACACTAGGTATTAGCTTATCACCGGTGCCAGACTGAAATAAGTCAATAAGCAGATAAAATAAGCAATCCCAAACACCCCCTTAATACATTCAAGAATATAAAATATGTAAATTAATTATTATGATGATTGTCGCCTACTAAGATGATGTAAAACTCCTAAAATATGAGTAAATCTAAACCGGAAAATGCTTAAGGTATAAAGACTTAAATAATAGAGATCAACCAAAATGCGAAGTGCAAGCATTTACATCATAAGACATAGATAGTAGATGACAACTAATGATCTAGACCAAAATTAAGTGAATATTAACATTAGGTGTCACTATGAACTCCAAAAGAATTCTACTCAATATATGAAGTTATGGATCTTCGAGAGTAGTATCCCCAAAAATGCCCCTAATGGCAATCATCCCTTCGCTCAAACCTTGGGATTCCTACCGCTAGGAGATCTTGGTATATGTGTCATTTAAGAAAAAAATATTAGCTTTAACACCTAGTAAGATCAACATTTTATAAGTAAAGATTCGAAATCATAAAATCAGTAATATAAGGCTTAAGCAAATCAAGAGTTTAAAACACTTTCAACAATAAGACCATAAGATCAATAATATTGTTAAAATTGTTTAAAACTATAAAAAACAATCTTATTTATCAACAAACAAAAAGTAAAGTATATGAATTTGTACAATCTAAACACAAATATGTAAGAAACTAATCTAAACTTAAAATATAATAACAAAATACATCTTAAATCTAGTTAGAACAAACAAAAAGATGAATAAAATATGAACAGATCTAGAGAGAGGTGAGAGCTATCGAGAGCTAAAAATTGTTGAGAGAAGAAATATTGTGAAAATCTGACGAAAATGATATGAGAAACAACCTTATATATTTTCCAAGATATGACAAAAATGGTCCTTGAATATTTAAGAATAGTACTCCGCTGCCCATTGAGTATTTCCAAATGTGAGGCACAGTCCTTCAAGTAGCAACAACAATCTTCAACTTTCAACTTTAACACCTTTTACCATTGTTTGACAATTTTCTATCAAATAAGTACAACAAAATAAGTCAAGATTGTTACCATCAAATAGACTTTTAACACCCGCCCTCAATCTTGTCATTTAAACATATCAATCATTTTTAATTTTGAACACATATAATTGTGATGATTAACACCAAGAGTTTTTGTGAAGATATCTGATGTCTGTTCTGAAAAAAGAATCTTTTCAATTTATAAAACTCCTTTGCCGATTTGCTCATGAACATGATGAATATCTATTTCAATATGTTTAGTTCGTTCATGTAAAACAGGGTTATTAGTAATTTGTATTGCAGATTTATTATCACAATACAAACTAACAGGAAGAAGATTGCTTATTTTAAGATCTGTTAAGACCTTAAGAACCCATATAATTTCACAAAACACAGTTGTCATAGCTCTATATTTAGATTCAGCTGAAGAACGAGAAACATTATTTTATTTCTTGCTTTTCCAAGAAATTAAAGAATTTCCAAGAAATAAACAGTATCCAATAACGGAGCGTCTTGTAGACAAAGACTTACCCCAATCAGCATCAACATAACTACTCAAGCAAAAAGATTCTGACCTTGTAAAATTAATACCTTTTCTAGGGGAGAATTTCAGATACTTGAGAATTCTAAAAGCAAGATTTAGGTGAGACTGCCTAGGAACATGCATAAACTGACTAAGACAATGAACAGAAAAAACAATATCAGGACGAGTTGTTAGTAAATAAATCAATCTTTCAATTAACCTTTGATAACCAAAACAGTCAGATAACGGAGGATCCTTGGGATTACGGGAATCAGTAACAATAAGATTCATGTCCATAGGAGTACTACACGGCTTACATCTTAAATATCCAAAGTCATTCAATAACTCAAGATAATATTTTCGCTATGACATACAAATTCCATCAAAACAATCTAAAACTTCAATTCCTAAGAAAAACTTGAGATTTCTAAGTCTTTGATTAGAAAATTACTGTTAGTCTCGAAGGGAATGACAATAAACAGAAAGTAATTGTAGAAGGGGGGTTGAATACAATTACACAGACTTTTTTTCCAACTTTTTAATTCTTATTGATTTATATCAAGAATTAATACACACATAAATACAAAAGATTGTTGCGGAAGATAGGAAAGGAAAACCTAACCTAAATAATCTTACAAGAAGAACTTTCAAGAACAACACAGAGAGTTCTTGAAAGGAATGAAGAACACTAAGAATTTCTTCGCACACAGGAGAGCAAGGGAGTAGAAGAGAATAGCCGATTGCTTTTTGAATTCACTAAGTAATCTTGCAAAAGCCAGTGTGTGTGCATGGGAGATGCACACTGCCTTTTTATACTACCTTCAGCATTTAATGCATGAGGACACTTGTCACTTGAGGATAAGAAGGCAGGGATTGACTTGACTAATGTTGATATCTCATTTTCATCGTACACAGCGTGCATACAACACAGTTCATGCAGAGACAAACTTTGCAGAGATATGGTCAGTTTGTAGGAAGATCTCCTTTGGATGGATATGTAGCTTCAAACAGCTACACACAAATCTTCGGTCCATGAAGATTTTCAATCTTCTTTCCATGATCTTCAATCTTGAGTCCATGAAGATTTTCAATCTTCGGTCTATGAAGATCTTCCTTCAATCGGCTTGTAGCTTCAAAATATTTTCAATATGCATTTCAGCTACTTCGGAGTCTTGGTGTGTATATTAGACAGTTGATCCACAACACCGCATCGGTGACCTTCTGTCTTCACATCGGCTAGTCTTCGATTTTGCCAATGGCTTTAAGTATGTACCAAGACACCAATTTACAAAGAACCAATAACTACTAAGTGTTGTTAAAGTAGAGGAATAGATCAGTGGGTCATCACCAAATCAATAGGTGACCCAACAATCTCCCCCTATTTGATGATGGCACAAACACTTAGAAAGAAGTAAATACAATAAACATAAACTCTAAAATTCTTTGAGAAGAAGAACTTATAAATTATGTGACCCATATACATATTTTTTTTGGGTTCTTTTTTTTTTAATTTTTTTTTAATTTTTTTTAACTATAAACGTATATACAAACAAATAACGAATCAGAGACAAACAAATAAAGAATGAAAAATTTAAAGTAAATACTGAAAAATCAAATTGCATTTACTAGACAATGAACTAAA